TATTTTATTTTTTTTGTTGTTGTTTTTATTGTTGTTGTTGTTGTTTTTGTTGTTGTTGTTATTATTATTATTATTATTATTATTATTATTATTATTATTATTATTATTATTATTATTATTATTTGTTTTTAAAAATAGTTTTAAATTTCTTATTGTCTTTCTTCATATTATAAATAATTGTTTTTTCAATTTAAAAATCTTTTTAATTCTTTTCTTATAAAATTTAATTGTTTTTAATTTTAATTAAATAATATTTATATTCTTTATTTAATTTTTTATAATTTCATTTTGTTTAATTTATTTTTATTATTATTAATTTTTTTGGAAATAGTTTTAAAATTTCTTACTTTTTTTTCTTCATATTATAAATAATTTTTTTTTCAATTTAAAATACTTTTTAATATTCTTGCTTTATATTTTATATTTTTATGATTTTCTTTAATTTATTTTTCCTTTTTTATTTAATTTATTTTTTTCAATTTAAAATGCTTTTTTATATGCTTTATTTAATTTTTATTTTTTAATTATTTTCTTTAATTTATTTTTATTTTTTTTTTATTTTTGTCTACAATTCTTTTTTGTTTTCTCATTTTATTTATTAAATCATTTGTTTTTTTATTAGCGTCGATGTAAATGAATCTATTTATGGCATACAGTAATTACAATTCAGTTCGCTTAATTTTCTGATATTATGCTTTATTGCATTATCTCATCTTGAAGGTTCTAACATTTGAATTATTGTAGGATGGAGTACTATTTCGATGCTGAGTTGAGACAAATGGCGGGAAAAGTTACTTGAAACAATTGCTTTGAAAGTTTTATTACTATATTGGAGTTGCTCGATGATCAGTACTGAGATATGCTACTCCAGTCCTTCTTGTGGCCCTTGTATCAGTTGAGAGATGTACAATACTCTGGGCAGATAATTGATGCACTATTATTTCGGCTGCTTAGGCCAGTCGATGGAAATGTCCTCCACTTCGAACCTCGATGGCAATGTCGCTAGTTTCTCTATATTTAAGTTTACCCTGATGACTAAACTGAAGATTACGGGCGATGAAGCAACTTGCGACGGTACTCAAAGAAGCAATAGACTGTACGACATGTATTTTCAAGGACAGGGAACGGTGCTTCTACCGCAGTTGATGGGCGCAATCAGAGTGTGTGACCAGATGTTGGACATATTAAAGTTGTGATTGGTCTATATCCTTGAAAGCGTGGTGATGTGTTATAACCAAAAGACCGCCGTCGAACTTTTTCATTTGGAAGTTGTTGACGATATCGATGCCTTCAACAACTATCATTGAGGGCGCAGATGTTTTGAGGACACCATACACATCTTCACCAGATCACATTCGAAGTCCAAGGGGTCCTTGCGTAAGCACGAAACTTATGGATTGCCCCGGCAATATAGGTAAATGTATAACATAACCAATGTTAAAATATTTTTATACTAAATTTATATATAATAATTGTATGTA